GAGGTCAACTACAGAGAATGAGGGATGAAAAGAAGCAAAGAAGAAAGAGAGAGAGGAGTAGAGAGCTCAAGAGAATGAGACTGATGTCACTCGAGTCACGACACAGCAGTGAGTTCAGAGAGAAATCTGAATGAACATTAATTCAGGCTTCAGAATATGACATGCATGACTGAAATCATTTCAGTAATCGATGTTAAATCACAAACACACACACACATGCAAACACACTCATTTGTGGACATGCACAACTAAACACACATGCATATGTGTGCATACACACTCACTCACTCACTCACTCACTCACACACACACACACGTACACACACACACACACACACACACACACACACACAGTCAGAGCACATAAAGGGATTTGTTTGGGTAAGTTAATTGTACACAGCGCTGTCTTCATCGCTTCACTGAGGCGAAACATATTGCCTCCACTGTCAAAGAGCTTTCATCTGTTATTGCTGGATAAACACTAACACAAGACACACACACACGCTCATTTTCACTCTTGCGGGTCTTGATAGAGATGGACAGATGACAGGTCTGTCTTCACACATTGTTTAATTGACCGATAGCTTGTGACGAGTGTCTGGACAATGACACAGCAACACACTCTCATAAGCAGCATTATGCAATTCTATTACAGACAGCCTAGTGTTACCAGCTTTAGAGCAGAGATACTAGAGATTGGAGAGTGCAGATGTAGACACACACACACACACACACACACACTTCACAGTGCATCTGCCATACAGTGAAGCGCTACAGTTCTGGACTAGTCTCCAGTTTCCTGACGTCAGGGAGCTGTCCACCACAGTTGGTGCTGAAACACACTCAAACAGCACTGGAATACCAGGAGAAAGCTGCTTGTTAGCATGCCAAGGATAGCAGGATAGCTTGTAACCAGGGTCTAAAACTTACAGTTTGCCACACCTGCCAATGGCTGATGACTTGAGAAAATTGACCAGCCATTAAACTGCATTTATTTCATAAAAAAAACAGGCAAAACAAATTGGGGAAACACATCTAATTGCAATTTTCATTTAATTTTATTTTATTTTTAGTTACTTATATAATTATTATTTACTTAATTTGTATTTATTTAATAAAATTATAAAAATTAAACAAATCAATAAAGTACAATTAGAATACTAATATTTATTTTTTCATAGGGCTTTCATTTTTTCGCATGGAAACTTCTCTTTCGAAATGCTTCTCTTTTGTCATTACTCATTACAAACTTGGGAAGATATTTGATGCCTGTTGCATTTTTACATGCACATTATAAATGAGTCAAACTCACAGCAGTTGCAGAGATGGAGTTCTCATGTCAATTTTTGTCAATATAAATAACAGCATCTGCACCAAATTGCATCTTTTGGGTCCGAATGGTGTAGTTACAACTTCTACCAGCAGGGTAATAAGGAAACAGGTAATAACTAAGTTAAAGGTCCAATTACACAAATTCTTGTTTTTCTAGCAGAGATTTTGTATGTTGGTTTTAAACATACAAACCCCTCTTAAATTAGAAAAAATATATTTTTAAATTGATCTAAAAGGACTCCATAGGGTGTGTGTAGATTTGCCCCGTGTACAATGAAAATCACTATATCGGCACATACTTCAAAGTTATTTGCACACAGATGCCCATAAAAGAGGATGTAGACGGCAAAACAAACAGTGCTTCCTCCATTAGAAAGAAGTCATAAATTGGAAAATGCAATAGCGCTGTGTTTGCAAATGTGTGTGTGTGTGTCCGTGTATACAATACATGTGATCTGAAGCAAAAAAGGAGAGAAACTGTTCATTTTATTCTAATGGGAAAAATTAGACCAAATACAAATTAAGTGTGGTCTCAAGGGATCTTACTGGTTGTTACAATGTTTGTTTTCAGGAGAATCGATGCTCTTTTCTAATGAAACTAAAGGAAATGAGAGGGGAGAAACTATCAGCGTTAAGGCTCTCACACACACATGAAGAAATACAATTATGAAAGCCTCTTATACATTCACTATTGCTCAAACAGAATGCTTGGGGTCGGTATGATTTTTAAAAAATAATTATTGTATGCTCATGTATTGGATGCATGTATTTGATCGAAAATACAGTAAAAACAGAAAAAAAATTGAAATTTTACTACAATTTAAAATAACAGTTTTTTATTGGGATGAATTTTAAAATGTAATTTATTCCTATGATGCAATGCCGAAATGTCAGCATCATTACTCCAGTCCTCAGTGTCACATGATCCTAATATGCTGATTTACTCAACAAACATTTCTTATTATTATCAATGTTTTTTTTTTGTTTTTTTTTTGGATTATCTCATTCTACAACAACAATCTTATAAACGTAGCATATAGCTTTCAGTCTAACATACTACAGCCAACTATATTCTACAAATCTTTTTCAAAGATGGCTGATGTCTCAAGACATTATTAAAATCCCTCATCTGAATGTCCACTTTTCAGGCTGGCAAGCTAATATTAAACAAAACATCAGGCCTGTATTTATAAATCTGTGGTTTTTAAATAGTAATCCTAAACACATGCTCCTTCAGAGTATCAGAAACAAACTCGCCGATCTGCCAATTTATACATATATAAAATGGTGAAAACGGAAGGATTCTGCTATATAACCAGTCTCTTCTAATGGGAAAACACCCTGGTGCTCTACAGGAGACATATCTACAGGGGCTTGCCAGTGGTTTCCTGGCATCATTAGATCTTTCATTTCTAGAAAGCTCTCAAAGGATGGAGGCAATACATCACTCTGAGCTCTCCTTTAACCTGTTTCTCTATGTGTGCGTGTTTGAATTATTGGTCACGTGCCAAGTCAGAAAAGGTGTGTGGGAATTTTTCATCTCTCTTTCTCACACTCTCACAATGCATTTAAATGGGATGTTTAGTATAGACACTGGCCTGCCTGCCTGATCTCAATACATGGCCCTAAAAATGACAAACACCTCCAAAAACAGCAAACAGAGAAAGAGAGAGAGGGAGAGAGAGAGAAATATCGAACAGACAGCAGAGAGTAAAACACATGGAGAGAGGACTATTTGTGTGGATCATATGATTATGAGTTTTTATCTACAGACATACTGTACTGTTGAAAACCATGAATGTGAGCAAACAAATTTAGTCGTGTAGACAGTCGAGAGTTGTACACTCTAAAAAATGTTGGATTGTTTCAACCCAACTTTTGGTCAAATATGGACTAACCCAACCACTGGGTTAAATTTTTACATTAAAATCTTAACCCAAAAGTTGTGTAACCCAGCGTGTAGACAGTCGAGAGTTGTACACTAAAAAATGTTGGATTGTTTCAACCCAACTTTTGGTCAAATATGGACTAACCCAACCACTGGGTTAAATTTTTACATTAAAATCTTAACCCAAAAGTTGTGTAACCCAGCTTTTTTTTTAGAGTGTATGTTTCTAGAAAATCCATGAATAGAAAAAAAATTATAGCTTGAATGCAAAGTAAGTCACTTTGAATAAATGAACCTGCCAAATGCACAAATATCAAAGTAAAACATTTGATTTTGAACCATCATTTCATCATTTAGATTCAAAATTATTGGAGCAACTACAATAAATGCAGTAAAATGCCATAAAATATAGTATAATCTATAAATATAACATTTACCACAATAAAAGTATTATATAACAATATAATATAAATGACCACATTTTAAGGCAATTTAAAGCTAAATTCTTGAGTATGAATCATTTTGAACTGATTTAATGAAATTGATACTTTAAAGAACCGATTCACAGAAATGAATCAAACAAGTTGCGGGTGCAAAACTAGTATACCGGCACAGTTCTAAAGGCAAAAAACATGTTAAATTAATCACAATTCTCATAATGTTGGTTGATTTTATATTGCCAACAGAATAATATTTAATACAGTATACATATTTAATATATTGCCCAGCACTATTTGTATGCAAATGTGTATTTGTGTGCCACTTCTTACCAAGTCGTGGATCAAACTGTCTCATCTGTACCTCCTCCACACAGTCTGCAGGAAACCACCCGGTTCTTCCTTTCACCGTCCCTTCCCAGAAACCCCCTTCTCCTATACTTAACACTGAGAGAGAAAGAGAGACAGAGCGAGACATTAATTATCATCTCATGAACACACATTTCTGTTGATCAGACATAGATCCCCATAAAAGTTAGCTAACATCCTAGATGATAATACCTGGATTAAAAAATAACAATGAATGAATAAATAAATAAATCAAGTTAGTAATTGATGGAATTTGCATAAATTGGAAAATCATTTATATCAAGCAAACACTGTTTATTTCTTTAATTCTGAAAATGCAAAAATTTTACATTTATGGAAATAGTTATAATTAACTTTACACTATATAAAAACAATAGAAGTCTATGGTCCATTCCAATTGAGATGTGTGGTGGTGTGTGCATGAATGTGATCTCAGCAAGCATTCAAGCATCTTTTTCCTTTCGGAAATAAGCTTGCAGAGGGAAAACTGATAGATGAAATATTCTGTGGCGTGAGTTGAATGACCAGTGACCATCTGAGACGGTGCAGAACATTGTGTTCGACCGGAAACTGATTCATCCAGTGATATTCTACACTAACTGAAGAAACACAATGCATTACATGTGGTGACCACACTAGACACCCTAAAAACATATAGAGTCACATGTAAGTCCTTCAGCATTGTAGTTGCTAGGATACTGCAGTTTAAAAGCAGTGTGTGTATGAGTCTGTGTATGTGTGTTTATCGAATGTGCAAGGTGTGCAAAAAGCCAGGTGGGTAATTGTGTGATACTCCATGAATTCCATAAATCAATAAGCAACAATGTAGGCGTGTGCTGTGTATTGTACACACACACACAAGGTTTCATTCATGCTGAAGTAAATCTTTAACTGGAGATGGCATATAAGTGAAACCCCGCTTACACAGAGCACATAACAAAGCTAACCTCACACTTTTTCTCAGTGTGTCTTTCAGCCTCTTAGTGAAGTACTCGTTCCCCCTGCTCTTGTAGTGTAATCCATGATGAAAGTGCTGCTTGACGGTCTTGAAGGCCAATGCTCACTTACTGAACATCCCATAGGAATGAACTGGAGCTTTCTATCAACAGAATTTTAATTATTTTAATTGATAATTTGCAGAGAAAAAGCCTTTTTCAATATGAAAAAACATGACAGATGGCAACAGTTGCCAAGGCATGATTGTGTCAGTAATGTTTTTAAAGGGCTCCTATTTTAATCTGCTCAGCTGTAAATATTAACGATGGTGTCAATTTTGCCATTACAATGTTTTGTTTATTTGTCTATTTTTTTTTTACAGTCTATGGTCTCTAGCGCAGCGGGAATTATTTAAATGAGTGACATTGTGACTTCACAACATCCAGAAGAGGAGTGCTGTAGTCCGAATGAGCTGTTTGTTGTAGTTCTTGAAATGTGTTTTCTGTTAATGAGAATATGTCCCTTTAGAGTGGACTTTTTATGCTCAAACAGCAACATTACACACTAACTAAAGTAAAAAAAAAAGTGAAAAAGCATAATACGACTTCTTTTAGATGGGGCTTAGCCAAAGTTCAATTGAAATACAAACCTTCCATCACTCCTCAACACACACACACACACAATTTTCTCTTGAGAAAGACTCAACACCTAATCATCTAAATACAACCAATTATACTGCCTTTTTAATCAGTGAAAAAGCATAATACGACTTCTTTTAGATGGGGCTTAGCCAAAGTTCAATTGAAATACAAACCTTCCATCACTCCTCAACACACACACACACACACAATTTTCTCTTGAGAAAGACTCAACACCTAATCATCTAAATACAACCAATTATACTGCCTTTTTAATCAGGATATTTAAAATTCTGTGAGTGGATTTTAGTGATGATCTAGCTGGCAGCACAGCCATTAGAAAATTATCACCTCAATGTTACTGACTGAGGTTACACACACACACACATGCCTGCAGACACATACAAATGGATGCCTCTGCTGCCTGTCACAATTAAACACTTGTGTAGATGGGGCTTGTCTTGAAATAAATTCAGGAAGAAAAGAAATGCACATCTCATCAGTGATGCTTCTCATTTAAATGCTTTCAATATTTGTGTCCACACAAATCAGTGTAGTGAGTATTTGTGGACAACACGTATTGCGTTGAGGGGACATTTCATGGAAAACAGGATTTTCCTCGCTCTTCTGATACAAAAGAAGTTTGATGTGCTGTGTCACCGTAATCTAATGTTCATAATACAATCCACCCATAACCCAGTCCACACAGACCAGTTATGGATATTAGGCAGAAAAATTGCGCATGCTGCATGAAAAGAGGCACATTTGGAAATATAAGGGTTTCATAGACAGATTTGCTGGATGTGTGTGGAAACAACTGACCCGAGTAACACAGAACAGTACATTTTAGTAAGAAGCCAGATCTTTAAAATATGAAAATATGAACATGAAATAAACAGCTGAATTCAAAATGTCACCATTATGATGTCAGAACTATAAGAACATTTAAATATGACTGTGCATATTTACATATCAATGAATATTCATTCTGTGTTCAACAGTACTGTTAATAATGTTACATTTGGTAGGTTTTATTTTTTTTAATTATTTTTCTTTTCGGTTTTTAGTATTTTCTAAAAATAATGTATATATTGTGTATA